AGGTGGGGTATTTTGATTGACAAATAGTGTCTGGGTGAATAATAATTTGTTTATTTACTGAAGATATTTGTTTTAGCTCATAAAATTCCTACAAATTACCCGGCCAGAATATAATTTACATTGCTGGAATTCTTTTAAGATTCTGATTATTCTAAATATAAACATCATGGAATTTGCATTAGACATACAAATTTTAGATCTAATTTAAGAATTTTGATTACAAAGCCAAAATTTTATCTTTTGTGCAAAATATATGACATTTATATTCAAAATATTCCTGACCTGCAAGGAATCCAGCAATGTCAATTATATTATCCTAACTTTAGTCTGAGGTATTATTTATTACTCTACCTTAAAATCTAGTGTTTTCACCCAAGTATTTCTCAGAGAGAGAGGAGCCAGCGAGCGTGGGAAGAGGGGGGGGGTTGAGTCTATTATTTGAATGGACATTAACCTGGCGACTGTATTTCTCTTAAATATTAATTGTGTGTGCATACCATCATAAAATTAAGATGTTATTTTTACTAAACGTAGGTATTATGTCAGTATTGTCGGAAAAAGTGAAGTTTGGGAGTCGGCCCAGTCTCTATTTCAATTAATCCCATATGTTCTGTTATTCCATTTACACGTTTCTCGTTTTACGCGCTACTCCGCGGGATCAATTGACCGCGTAAATCGGGGTATTACAGTTTATGTCACCACCTACTTACTCGTAATAATTTAGATTTAATTCTTGTATGCTACCCATGTTTTGGTGGGTGCTAAGTTCCATTGTCCTTAAATCATATCAATATTGTCTCCATGTCACAAGTCATAGCGTGTCCTGTGAGACACGAGTACCAATGTATTAGTGTCTGACTGCATGGTCATGTGACTAGGCTTGTTTCCCTCTGGGGTATAATAAATTAATTAAATAATAAGTCCAGCATGACTAAACATTTGCTTGAGGGATAAGTCACATAATGTTGGGAAAGACTTCAGTAGCTCTAATCCATCACCTGGGCATACCAAGTAGATATCAAAGTCCTTCAGTTGAGGAGTTTGTGGATGACTGTTGCCTCCATAGTGACTGAGTCTGACTAACTGTCCCTCTAATTGGCATGTGGCTGTGGTGATGTCAGTCTTCGATTCTAATTGATGAGTGGCTGAATTTTTCGCACCAAGTAATATCTGGCGGGTGCTCCCCCCCACCAAAAAAAAAAAATTTACTGTACTTAGTTATTTCAGCATTATTTTAAATACACTCAGTCTCACACATAGTATAGATACAGGCTTTATATCTAAGACAGAATTATGTAAAGTATTTTAAAATCACAGTCTCTTTGAAATTCATTTTAGGTACAGGTACAGTAAAGCCTCTCTAAAGCGGACTAATTGAGGGGAAGGGGTGCCTGGAATAAGAGGTTGTCCACCTGAGATAAATTTTTTCTCAAAATACCCGTCAATTTAAAAACAATACAAGTACACCACCAATGTATCCATTTTTTATGAAAAAATACATGTTTTTTAATCAAAATTAATTTTAAAAAGTAATGCACAAAAAAGTACTGTACACTTACTTTTAGTTCACTGATAAGGTCTTAGGCTTAACCTTCTCACCACACTTAAGGATACCAAACACTTTCTTATGGCCATGGTTATTGTTTAATTTTTCAATAGTAATGCAAAAAAATATGTACTGTACTATGCTACTTCAGCCTACAGCGAATGTGACATACCGCTACAAAGAAGGAGCTGTTATACTGTATTTACATGCACAAAATCATATGTTTTCCCTAAAAAAATACTTTAAAATTACTTTCAATATATAATTGTATGATGAAACGTACAAAAAAAAAGTCCACAAAATATTCTTGTAAAATAGGGGTGCGCCTTATATGCCGGCAAACACGGTAATTCGCTTACTACATTTGAGTACTGTTTGTGATAATTTATGTGGTTGCAGTTTCAAAGCTTTGTAACATCACTAATGTATAACGAGTCTCCATATGCCCTGGTTTATTCATTGATCAGTTGTCTAAGTGCAAAGGTAGCCCAGTCAAGCTATCATGCATCAATTAATATTAATAATAAAAGGTTAAAAGACAATGATTTAGTAGTGCTGTTAATGTGTGTGCTGTGTAAGTGTCTTGGCATGTCACCTCACCACCTGACTCCTGGACAAGGTTATCACTTGGCAACACTGGTGTATGTTACCACTCCTTTCCACTCCATCTCTCTAATCACCCACACCTTTCTGCTTTCTCACTCCATATTTTAAAATTTTATGTAATGTAATGTTGAAGGGATACAACTTTGCTCATTTATAGTTGTACTTATCACAATCTCCCTAAAAATACTTTAGGTTTTGTATTTATTCAAGACAACTTCAGGTCATGAGACCCACTAATCCCCACCCAAGAAAGGGTGACCTGACATTCCATCAGGTCAGTAATATGAGACCACTAATCCCTCACCCTACCTCCACCTGACATTGAGTCAGGTCAGGTTCCCCCCCCAAAAATACTTTAACTTTCATCTTTATTCAACACTTTTTTCAAAAATTCTCTCGATTTTCAACCGTGGAAAATTTTTCCTAAAGCCGGATATTTTTGGAACATTCCGGCTTTGGGAATAAATTTCCAATCAAATTTCAATTCCATCTATGGGAGATTTCCGGGTTTGAGGGAATCTGGCTAACGGAGATATTACGGTAAAATAAGAAAATGGCAACATACCATCTCACAGACCACCTCATCCCCAGTTTTTACCCTTTCCATACCTTGCACAGAATAACTAATATAATTTTTTTCCTCATTTTGTGAATTGTGGGTAGAAGAAGGGTCCTCACATAATTATGAATTCACATAAAGCGAGGATAAGGAGTACTGCACTATAATATGTCTGTTGATGAAAAAAAAAAGTACATATTAATATTAAAGTTCTGTATATTTATCACTAATTAGCTTATCATGAGGTAGTTGAGTCTTAAGGTGATGGGGTGATTGAGGTAGGAGTTGATTGCATGACACACAATGTACAGGCTCGTTCAAAATTCTTCGAACACTACTGAAGACAGCTGGCAACTAAAGACCGTTTCTTTACTATACAGCGGTCCCTCGGTTAATGAGCACAATCCGTTCTAGAAGGTTGCTCGTTAACCGAAAAACTCGTTAACCGAAACCATTGTTTCAATGGGTTTTTGGGTAATTGGTTCCAGCTCACCAAAAATTGCCTAAATTCAACAAAAAAGGTAGAAAAGTACACTTATTTTGAGGTGTGTATGTAGAAGGCTCCTAGATGATGATGATGCTGGGAATTAGAATGGGGGTGGAGGAGAAGGGAGAAGAGAAGGCATTGGGGTGGAAGAGAAGTCACCCCATGGCGCCATTTCACCCATAAAATTTTAGTTCTCTTGGTGTAATTCAAGATTATTTTCTTTAAATCAACACTGCACTGCATTATATATTGTCAATATGTAAAATAAATTTCAAAATGACCAATAATTTGCTTGCAAACACAGAAAAAAGCATTTAGTTGAAGAGAGTCTCAAGCAAGATGTTACCTCCACTGAAAAGACACAAAGACTGACGCTTGTATGCTGTGTTGGCAGGCTGGATGGCGTGCCACAAACTAGTGACCCTACCTTCAATTATGTTCAATAATTGTTAAAATGACTAAAAAATTTAATATTAAACTTTTAAAATGATTGAACAGTATAAACTTCTTGATATTTACTAAAAGGGTAAGGAATTTAAGCCCAAGAACCGATTACTGTATTGGCGGACTAATACTACAGCTGGTGGACCGCCAAATGCAAGCTAAAACATGTGGAGGTCGGCTCGTAAGAAACTCGTTAATCGAGGGGTTGCTCATAACCGAAGTTAAGAATTTTATGGAAGGTAACTCGTTAACCGAGGCGCTCGTTAACAGAGGGACCACTGTAGTACATAGTATAATACAAAACAACAAAGCCTAACCATTAATTAAGCAACGGGGAACTATGTAACCAATCACCAATCACTTTTACATTCATTCATAATTTTTACTACATACTATAGTAAAAAACGGACTTAAGTTGCCAGCTGTCTCCAACAGTGTTCGAAGAATTTTGAACGAGACTGTACGTCACCAGAGGAGGAGCAGGGGGTTATATTTTCACTGCTAATTTCATTGATTGTATGTACTATTCATATTTCTTACTCACATCACTGACTCTTCATAGGCAGCTGTTGAGTTAACCTCCTGTGCCACCACAGTGGCAGCCCCACCTACACGAACCTTCCCCCATACTAACCAGAAATTTGATTATTTTTTCGGGTTGGGGATACATGCATCCAGTGCTGGACCCCGTTCCAGTTTGCATAGGGATCCGGATTAAGCAAGCCATGGTTTGAAGGAGTTTACTCTAAGTGTGAATTTGCGTACTGTAAGTGTAAGCAGCCCCCATTGTCCTCCACCTCAAAATTCATTGGCTACAATAAAGTAAGTGCTGTGTAAATGTATGTTGTTAAGTTTTATATTGTTTTGGGAAAGGATTTTTCAACAATATGATGGTTTAAAGCATCCAAGGGGGAGGTTACGCATAAGTTGGAATTCTAGATAAGTCAAACAGACTCGAGCCCCATATAGTCTGACTTAGGGAGGTCTTTCTGTATACACCAATTCCCCCATTAACATCCTTGTTAGGCTCCTGAAAACCAAGACATTAGTGAAACGACGTCAAGTGAAAACGATTTTACCATAAACACAATGATATAAATAGGGGTTATGTTCCTTGGGCACATTTCTGGGCAAAATTTTCTCAAAACTTGGCACAAATGTTTCATTTTCAGCACTACCACCTTCTTGTTTTAAAGTTTCAACTAATCTTAGAGGTTTTGCCTGTATGGAGAACAAAAAACATGGAAAGTTTTGTTGATGTTAATCCTCGTTCCACATGTTCAGCAGCATTAATGCAAATTAGATAATATAACATTTATTTGCTAAAATATGAAGACAATAACATTTTATAAACTTACATCTTTCCTGATCTCTCTGACTAAAGTATAGAAGGCATCGTCAACACCCATGCGGGTTTTGGCAGAGGTTTCTATGAAAGGAATGTCATAATTCTTGGCCACTTCCCGTGCTTGCTGCATGTCCATTGCACGCACCTGGAGATCACATTTGTTGCCCACCACTAGAATCAAAATTAGGAAACAAAGGTAAATATATTATTAAGATTTTGTCTTACAAACCATTTTACATGTAGAGAAAACATTGTATGGGAGAGCTAATGTGCTTTTTTCTTTCTATTTTTTCAAGTGAGGTAATCATAACTATATAGTATTTCCACGCAAACCTGGCCCATAAGCCCCGCCCCTCTTCTATACCAATACGCTGATTGGTTCACAGAAAATTCAAATTAAACGTGTTCACAGTTGGTAAGCAGACCTGTTATTATCTAAAATAATGTTAAATATCTGAACTATGAAAATGCAGGTGATTTCAAGGCATTAGCACTTCAGAGAGGATGTTAATTTCTTTTTAATATTTATTATAAAAGGTCAATATAAATACGTGCAGTCCAGGGGGAGGTAAAACGCTCAGGGGAACCAATCAGCTATTTGTAGCTATAGACGAGGGGCGGGGCTTATGGGACAGCTTAGCGTGGAAAGGGTATAGTCAATGAAGATTGGGCGATGATGGGCCAATTAAATGGCCACCGAGGTCTCCAGACCTCACAACTACCGAATCTCCCTCTGGGGCCATTTGAATGATTCTTGGTTAACCTTGACAGACAATAGATTTTAAGTGATCCAGGGGAAGATATTATGAAGTGAGAGGTTCAGAGACCTTGGTAGCCATTCAATTGGTCCCAATAACTTCTTTCATTTGTTATGATTCCCTCACCTGAAAAAATTAAATAAATAAATAATAATAATAATGGTCCTATGGCGCATGACCTATGATATACCCTATATATGAGAATTGTGAAGAATTAGGCTCTGGGAAAAATTATGTGGACAAGAGACATATGTTAGTGTGGATGAGCATGCAGAAATCTGTAACCATAGGAATTTCTGGAAGACAACAATTGTGACCATAGTGGATTGTTTGATATAGCAATTCAATGCGGACAACTATTGAACATCAGAAGAATAAAGGTTAATGCAAAATTCTATTATTTTCAAAATGGCCATACTGTACCAGAAAACTCAGGTGTCACTTTTTTTTTCAATAATATAAATACCAGCACTGCATCTCCAATGGCTGCACTGTGGAAATACATTCCCATGGATAATGTCAAGCTAATATATGTTACTATGAGGTTATAAAGCTAGAGCTGTACTAATACCCAAATTTTGGCCAATAATGATACCAAGATTTCAGCTGATGCTGATAATCAAAAATTATTGAATCTTTGCCGTTACTGATACTGTACAGTCGGCCCTTAACATATGCGGGGGTTAGGTAACAGAGATACCCGTGAATGTCAAAAATCCGTGTACTTTTGCTGCTCTCCCCCTAAAAAAACCCTGGCCCCTCATGTCCTTATTTACCGTATATACCTGTGTGTTGTTCTAGTTTTTAAGACCAAATTATTTGGCAAAAAATTGGGGGTCGACCTCTAAACGGGTAATAGTTTCCTTAGGTTGAAAAATATTTACCAGTAACTACCAGTAAACAATGGAAACGATGCACCAATGCACCACCAGCTGTGAGTGTCGGTACAGTTGCCAGGGCAGTTCTCTTGCGTCATCAAAGCAAGCCCAAAGTAGCCAAATGCATGGTATGGTATGCACAGGACGATGTAAAACATAAAGTATTCATTTTTTAAAGTTTATTTATAGATACTGTACATAAATTTTTGTTCATTACATTTGAAACATCAATCTTTGTTAATTAAATTTGAAACAAAAGAAAACTACGGTACCGTAGTTTCATTAAAATATTACATCACAAGTATATTTTACCTTAACTGTGACTGAATGAATATATTCTCAGAATGGTTTTCAGTTAAAAAACTGTTGTACTGTACTGTATTACAATAATATTCTATCCTATCATTAGCCTCAAAATCCCACAACTGAAAACCATTCGAAACGCGATTACGGTAACACCTTTTGAACGAAAGAAAGCGAAAGTCATTGCTTTCGTCACAATTTGATCCCACTTTCCACTGTACTAAGTATGTCATTTCAGCAAAAATATTACATTTCCATATTCTCAGAAATAAATAGTAGTTTTGTTGAAACGTAATGTACAGTATTTAATATAAAAATGCAAAAAGAGCTATAAAAACAATTAATACTGTACACCCATAATGTACTGGCTGGCATCTCCAGTCGTCCCCGTCCCTGCTCCCGCCTCCAGCGTCAACACTCCTACCTGCTCTATCCCTCCGCCTCCACATCGTCACTACTGCCAACAACAAACACAAATGTTTTGTGAATAACTGCACCTCCACTTCCTATGTACAGTACTGAACTGTCCTGTGCTGTGCATTTTTACAAACAATAAACATAGCAAGAAAAGCTATAAAAAAAGATATAAAGATTTCACTTTACTGTACCGTACCTATCCTCGGCGACAGGGCGGGGGTCATCGGGGTCATCGTCACTCAATTCCATAACGGGTGAAGTGGGGACGACGGTGGATTCAGCTGCTTCCTCACTGCTGCCAGTGATTGATGGTGTTAAATTTCTCCTTCGGCGATCAAAGAACATGGTGATGGGGAGTTATCGTCTCTTTCTTTTCATTTCTTCCATGATGTTTCTGTATGGAGCAACTCCACCTTCTCCTGCAGAGTCATCACTTTCTTCTGGTGCTTAAGGGTGACTCCAGCTGGTGTCTTTGATGCTCTTTTAGGGGCCATGGTAAATGTGGGTAGCAAGGGTAGCAACTACAATTCTGATGTTAACACAAGCGTGGTTACAGTGAGACTGACTGAGTGACGGAGCGTGGAGTGGCGGGGTGGGGTGACGACGTGCTATGCGTGTGTGTGTGTGAGGTTGCTGGAGAGGGCGGTGTCCCGTGTTCGGTGCCGCGCGCGAGTTGAATGGTGCGCAATTTGAATGTACTTCAATGTACAGAATATTCCTCCGGCGGGGCAATCCGAGTATTTGCAAATCCGTGTATGCTAAACCCACGTATGTTAAGGGCCGACTGTACTACCAAAATGCACAGATACAATAATATTGATAAATACACAATACTGGTACACTATTTCAAATGATACACAAACTCTATAACAAAGAAATATTTAATTTGATGCAATATAAGTATATTGTACACTTATCCCCCATATTCGTGAATTCACTAATACACAAAAAAATTATTAGTGACCCGTTATTCAAAATTCGCGATCGAAATTCAGCTATCCGCGAGGCTTAAGAAAATTCTGGGTAATTTCTGAAAAGGAGTTGTCCGATTTCGTTTATTTTTTTTCCACAGATTTTCTTATCATTATACAGTCGACCCTCGTTAAAACAGACTAAGAGGGGGGGAAGGGTGTCCGTTTTAGCCGATTATCCGAATTAACCGATTTAGGTTGTTAGGAAATACAGTACAGTGACCTCTCGTTTAACGAACACCTCGGTTAACGAAATTTCGGTTAACGAACTGCCTTCCATAAGGATCTTCAATTCGGTTAACGAAAAAAAATTCGGTTAACGAATTTCTTACGAACCGACCTCAACATGTTTTCGCTTGCACTGACCGGGCAACCAGCTTTAGTATCAGTCCGCCAATACATTAATCGGTTCTAGGGCTTAAATTCCTTACTATTTTAGTAAATATCAAGAAGTTTATACTATTCAATAATTTTAAAAGTTTAATATTCAATTTTTTAGTCATTTTAACAATTATTGAACATAATTAAAGGTAAAGTGACTAGTTTAATGCGCGGCATCCAGCCTCTTAACACAGCAAACAGGCGTTAGTCTCTCTCTGTTTTCACTGGAGGTAACATCTTGCTTGAGACTCTCTTCAACTAAATGCTTTTTTCTGTGTTTCCAAGCAAATTATTGGTCATTTTGAAATATATTTTACATATTGACAATATATAATGCAGTGCAGTGTTGATTTAAAGAAAAAAATCTTGAAATACACCAAGAGAACTAAAATTTTTTGGGTGAAATGGTGCCATGGGGTGACTTCTCTTCCACCCCAATGCCTTCTCTTCTTCCTTCTCCTCCACCCCCATTCTAATTCCCATCATCATCATCCAGGAGCCTTCTACATACACGCCTCAAAGTAAGTGAACTTTTCTACCATTTTTGTTGAATTTAGGAAATTTTCGGTGAGCTGGAACCAATTACCCAAAAACCCATTGAAACAATGGTTTCGGTTAACAAACTTTTCGGTTAACAAACGACCTTCTGGAATGGATTGAGTTCGTTAACCGAGGGGTCACTGTACTGTATATACACTGTATGCTGAACATGATACACAGTAACAAAAACACAGGAAATACTGTAAACATCATATAACTAGCTATATAAAACATTACAATCTGTAAAAATAAAAAAGTTAATACTGTAGATGACAGATGAGCTTGATGTGGTGAAGGTGGGGGGTAGAGGTGATAACTTGTCATTTGGAGTCACTAGAGCTATGATGCTCCACTGGTCCTTGTCCCCCACTCGTAGAAGGCTGAGGTGACTGAGGATGGCCTGAGTCAGCAGCAGGAGGGTCATCAATATCGTCAGCAGGCTCAACAGCTGCAGCAGGGTTGGGACGAACTGGCTTGAAGAATGAGTCTAGTTTCAGTTGTTTACCTTGATGATGCTGCCTCTGGATAATGAGTTCCCTAAAGGCTCTAAAATGTTGATAGTAATGCTGAACATCATCAGTTTCTGCTGACAATTCAATGTACAAAATGACATTATCAGTGGATTCTCGTATAACAGAGAGTTTGGGTTTCTTGGGCAATGGTTCGTCGTCTTCCTCATCTTCACTATCTCTGCTGTCACCAACAAGAACTTCATCCGCTATTTCTTCTTCTGTTAAGACTTGGAATCCAGGGCCACCCTCTGTGTCTTCTAGGGACCACCAATACAACCCAGTTTCATCCCCATTATAGACTTGGGAAATCAGTAGCCCTTCACTCTTAATAAAGTCATTTAGCCTCTCCTTGAATGGTTCGATGTCCTCGGTGGGTGCGCTACCAGCTTTACCATGGGTAATTTTATTACA